TCTGAAGGATTTGGATAAAGCAGGAGTTGCGGAAGGAAAACTTCAAAAATATTTAAAAGATCTGTAGGCAACAAAATAATAAATATTTTTTTAAAAAAAATCCCACTGTAGATTCGAAGAACAAGAACAGGTAAGAAACCCATAAAAAGATCAAATAGGGATATTATGATCAGGGACGAAACAACTGAAATAAAGGCATGTGTAGAACTGAGCAGATGTCTAATAAAAGGAAAGTAGCCCATGCCATTAAAGCTTTTACTAAGCCGTAAGGATTACTGATACTTACCAAACATTGGACTCCAAGACTGATTGATTACGTCCAAACACACAGAGCCAGAACTATCAAGATAGAAGGAAAATTAACTTGTGTTATTGAAAATTTTTGGACAACTATCAAGACGGCTAGAGTTGAAGCTGATACAGAAATTGAATGAATAAACCATCCAACAATTTCTTTATAACCAATAGGCACAAGTTCATGGGCAACAACCACACTACTGACGAGAGTTCCCACAGAAACAAGATTCTGAAAAAGAAATAGAAGACACTCACAGCTCATCGACATTTGGATGAAATATCTTATTCACAAAACCAATAGAAGGCGACTTGTAAGGATAAGCATCAGGAAGCTCAACACGAATTTTCCATACTCCTCCTTCATAAAGGCCTGTAAGGACACTTATATAACAGGTATTTAAACAAATAATAGTAATTCAAACAGCCAACTGAATTACTAAAGGAGTACAGGGATGTCATACCCATTAGAGCAAGAAGAAAAGAAAACAAGTAGTACATTTGGATACTCCCCCAAACTACATTCGGTGTAAATTTTTTGATTGAAACCTCACATTTTTTGGGGAAAACTGAAACATCCTGGATTAAATATTTGATTATTCAGATTAAGTACTGGCATATATGCCATATAATCCTAATGGAAATTTTAAATCTTCCAAATCCGTACATTACAATTGAGAAAAATCATCAACCTCCAGATAGTGCTATATATGGAATAAAATCAAAAAAGAAGAAACATACTTTCTTTTGGTCCATGGAATTCCACATTAAATTCATTCAGTCCATCATTAATTGTTTCAACACTGTAGTCACTCATCATCCTGGATAAGATTGCAAGAATAAATCATACTATTGTACAAAACAAAGAGGCAATATCATGATTTATGCAAAATAATGTCGAGTACAGTGAATCAATCGGAGAAGTTAAGCTGAGATTTTGGTATAATTGGAATGTAAGACTATGCCAAACCATCTACAAATCGAAAGGTGAGACCAGGCAATAAATTTGTAAAGAATATCCACTAAAAGATTACTGATACTAAAATCAAAAAATAAGCTGGAGTCATCACAGACATCATAAACCAAAAGAAACAGAAACGATACCTGGAAGTGCTAACAGAAATTTCAAAATTATAAAGATGTAGTAGATAGAGATTACATAGAAGATGATATGCTGTACAGAGATAACTATACTAAATTGAAACAACATATTTTCAGCACCTTCGATGGCATTCTGGTGTTTCAACTTTTTTTGGTGGCCCTAATTGGCAGTAATAGAGTTTAACCCCCCGAGCTTAAATCGTATTCTGAGGCAGTTGTGCCATTTGCGCTCGTAGCTCTTGGCTATAGATATACAACTTAACAAGTATACAACTCCCATAATTGGCAAAGAAACCTTAACATGGCATGATCCATCAAGACTCAACAGGAACATGAAATAGGAAAATACTATGGCATAATTTGACACTCTAAAGACAACTCAAACCGTAAAGTTGTTCCCCAATTATACTTAAATGCACTTTCTTGAATTTATTTTGACAATTTGGCACTGGGATAAGAATACCTTCTACTTGTCACCATCTTACCCAATCATGTAAGCATGTGATTTATGAGTAATGTATAACTAAATGTAACTATCTGGTCAATATAAAAGCTCCATTTCCAATAATTATTCTTCTGGTACAACCTCTCAAGAAATTGTAAACTAATTCAAACTAACAACGACTAGTTTTCCCAAACACTCTTCTTACTTGGTGAGAAGTGAGACACCTGCCTGACCATTTTACCCCCTTTCTATTTGTTCACCTCAAAATTAAAGCATTTAGGCATTCCTAATACAATCATCAAAAGGACATGACGCAACTTGATATTTTTTTTTCTTTTTTGTGAGAAAAGGGGATAAGATATAAAACAATTTCTATGGAGATTTAAATAACCAGAAAACTTACAGCTTCATGACATCCATCTCTCTCCTCTTGCTTGGAGAAGACATTTTATAGAAATTCTTATAAAAAATTCCAGATCCTGTGGTAAATCCAAGAATGAAATTAAATTGTTAATCTAGGTGAGCTACAGAAAGAATTTTGTTCCAGTTATGCTTACTGATGCCAAAAATTAAAATACCACATCGTTGAAGATAAATAATTCAACAAAGAAGCAACACATACACACCCACTATTGATGGATGCTTAGAATATGTAATGATAAGATTAAAACGCCACAATACCAAAACCTCATATGTTATTTAATTCCCAAATAGAATCTGGGAGAAACACGACGGTCAATGCAAGGAAAAGGTCAACATGCAAAGTTATCGAAGTATAACCAAATAAATTGTTCCATTCAGGGCATGTGTGTAATGGGTTGCCTCATAAAAAAATTTTAAAAAAAGGAACCAAAACTGTAAGGTTACACTAAGATGAAAACTCTAGAAGTGCAAAAAATTTAAAAACCATAGTAACAAACGGATTTCTCTAAATTTGGTACTCCACATTCCCAAGAGACATTTTTCACCAAGGCAGCAATAACTGCTGACAGGTGAAACTTCTATTACTGAAAAGAAATTAAAAAGTTCTTCTTATATATAAAAGCTAGATTGAAGATCACCATTTCCTTAATTTTGGTCATTCTTATCAATAAAAGCCGGCAGGAAGTGGCACTTAATTATGGAAAATTTTTCAAAGTTCTACTTAAACCAAACAGTTGTCAAAAGAAGAAAGAAAATGATCATATCATGAGGTCAGTAGGAAATACAAATAACCGACAGAAATGTAATAAGATACAACCTAATATCATCCTCAAAGATCTCTATAGCAATTAAAAGGAAATGACAGCATCATCATTGCTCCAGATAAAATTCTTAGGACCCCAAATTGGACTATTTACTTTATCTTTGTAATTAACATTCCAAAGACTGAAAGAAAGAGACCTCTTAGTTGGTCTAATTTTTTCGTTCCCTCCTGGGTGGTAAGGTCATAACTTTGCTATTTATTAGACAAAGAAAATTTGTTTCAAGATATTCCTTAGTCACCTCAGCTGCTAATATAATCTTCTGCTTGTTCAAATTTACACAGAACACAATGTAAGCCCGTTAAACGTTAATATAAATCACTCGAAGAAATTAATAAACCAATGTGTCAATATGTACATAGTCAATCTGGAAAGTTCATAGCTTTAAAGACACCTCTAATCAGCAGTACACCAATCTAAGTCATGACCCAGAACAATATCTAAGATTCTCCCTGTTTTTGGAAACTGTAAGAACAACCACATTATATGACAAAATAGTTCTCTAGTTTGACTTGAGGCAACTGCAGTTATACTTAAGTGATTTAGCTATCTAAACTCTGACTAGCATAGGCAGAAAGCTGAAGTTGGAAGTTTAGATTCTTGTATTACAGCTTCTTAAAAATTGATCCGACAGACCTCAACCACGAAAGAGACGGAACTAATTTAATGGACCTCAACAATTTAGAATGATACCACTACTCCATATTTTCTTGTTGTTGTATCTACTAGGATACAGCTATGCTCTGCAAGTAACAGGTTTACATTTAGGATACCACTGATCAATTGGAAGTAGACACCAAACGCCTTAACTTATTGAAATTTTGCTATGATTTCATCAAATGCACCTAAAATCACAGTCAGAAATCTCCTTATTAACATCTCAGCCCTTAAGAAAGCATATTGCGACTTCAAAATTTTAACCGAAAAGGGAATGCAAGTTTGCCTGATCCCAGTGCAGGCATCCATCGCCAACAATAATTACCATTGACCAGACAAAGGAAGACGCAGAAAATGTATAAATCTTTTTCCCATCAACCATTGATCCTAGATAAGTCCAAAAAATCCAAAGTTCATCTTCCCTGGTTCCCATCGTTTCGTGAAGCCCAAGAAGCATTCTTTACAGAAACATACAACTAGAGACACAAACACAAGTAAACAATACATAATCTTCGTTGCGCCACATCACCAGTTGTGCAATGACTAAAAGCTTATAACAAAAACGTAACTAATTCAAGATCCAACGAGAGGAGAAACAACCAAACAAAAAGAAACAGCCAACGGCAAAAGGTTTGATCCTCCGTTTGATTGACGATAAAGGAGAAGTAAAAGAAGAGAAAAACAGAGAAAGAAAACACGGTACCTTACAATTTCGAGTGAATTTTCGGAGAATATTTGAATAACTCTATCGACGGTCGGTGCTCGAGTGGTTGATCGGAGAATCCCGGGAACCAAACAGAAAATCAGCAGGAAGAGAGAGGAATAGGAAGGAAGTGGAAGAGAAGGAGAAATGAAATATATACAGGAGAGGGAGAGTGAATTTCGATATTTTATGAAAAGCACGTGTTGGTATATAATTATGATTACGTGGCATGTTTGCTTAATTTAATTACCAGTGATTTTGTGTGTTAATTATTATTTAAATGTGCGTGTTAAGAATTTAATTGCCGAAAGTAAACGGTCTTTAATTATAAACATTATTTCTTCCCTTTTTCCTTGTTAAAAAATTAGAGTCATATTTTTTATTTTTATATATCTTTGTTAAAAAAAATAATATTATTAATAAGAGTATATATTTTATTAAAAATATTATATCATAAACTGTGAATTTTTCAAAAAATATAAAAAGATTATAATAGTAAATATTTCCTCCTTTTTGTTTTTATTTTTTGAGAATCCTCTTTTTTCTTTAGATTAAATATACGTATTTTTCAAATGTAAAAATTAAATATCTATATATATATATATATATATATATATCAGAAAGATAGTTTGTTATCATATATATCTTTTATCATGCAAGAATAAAATATATAAATAAATTGTTCTTATCAAGATTTTAATTCATAAAATATATTAAAATTTATAAAGGCAAATATAAAATTATATCAAGATACTAACCCCAAATTACTTACCCAAATACTAAAGAATACTCTCTTCTAATCCCATCATTTACATCTCTCTTTTATTGGTTTCTTAAAATTGTCTTAAAGATATTAAAATTGATTCTTTTAAATTAATAAACTCATTTCACAGTTCGACCTTCTCTCTCCCTCTTTCTCTTCTCCATCTTCATAAACTAAACGATTAAACAAACTAAGAAATTCAATTTCTTGAGTGAGATTTTTTTTATTGTTAATTTTATAACAAAAATTACGATTAGTTAAAAAAAAATTGGAAAAAGGAGGCTAAATGTGTAATACACTAAATTAATTTTTAACATAATTTAAGATTTAATTATAAATATAATTTCTTAATTTCTCAATTTTTTTTAATTTTAATTTAGAGTAAAAATGAAATAAAATTAATGAAGAATTAAACTGAAAATAATTTTAGAAAAAATAGATAAAAATTTAGGTTCTGTAAGTATTTTTGAAAGAAAAATCGAAAATCGGATGTCAAAATACAATTTAGAGAAATTTCGTCACGTAGGATGCCCGGTCAGTAGCTCCGACGAATAAGGACACGCTACGTGGCAACGGACACTGACGCGGTGCCACGCGGACGCTTTGCGTGCTCGCGATCGAACGACTCATATCCATTCCCCCGCGCACGAACGGCCCAGATGCGTTCCCTACCTAAACGCGATCGGACGGTCTATATTAGATCGTGATGAACACTGCAGATTGGGTCGCAATGAACGATCCAGATTCATTTCTTATTTAATCGCGATCGGACGGTGTAGATCAAACGCGGTGGATGGTCCAGATCAAAAGCGGACGGATATAAATAACTCCATCACACAACCCTAACCCAAGTCACCAGACCCCCTCGTTGGAGAAGAAGACCCATCTGCCGGGAAAGAGACCGTCGCCACCTACCGCCGCGCTGGAGCCCTTTTCGACCGCCAAAAGAGGTAAAAAAATTTTCCTTTGCTCAGAATTTAATTTTAAACACACCCAAAGCTAAATCAAAGCAAAAAGACCGACCGATTGGCTGAAAAATATGGGCAAAGCTCGGCAGCGCCGCCGTAGGGAATTTCACAAAATGCCTCTGATGAGACCTTTCTCTATTCTCATTATGCGTAATTTTTCCACCGTTGTAATCACTTTTACCTTCTCTACAGGTTGACCGAAGCAAAACACCCGATTGCAACGTGAGCCAGAGGAGCCGCCGCACCGGAGAGCCCCGCCGCTGGTGAGTTTTGATTTTTTGTATTTTTCGGCCAACCGAGACCTCTTAACATGTTTTCTCGCAGGGATTGATGCGAAATCGGCCAAATGCAGCTGAAAACGACCGAAAATAGCTGACCCAAAGTGAACCGCCACACGGGCAGCGGCGCCGTCGCCCGAGCACAACGGAGCCGCCGTGCCAGAATCCCAAATTGGCCAAAATGGGCCCTTAGACTGATTTAGGATTTTTTTGGAACATTTGTAGGTACTTATAACACATTTTGATTCCCAAAAAAAATTCAAGGAAGTTGGGGACCGCTAGTTGGCATAGTCAACAGTTTAGCCTTTCGACCTTCAAATTGAGTAAGAATCCCTCATCCTATTCTTTATTGTAGAATTGAAGTCTAATTTATAATAAATACGATATTTTGTATAATTTAGAAAATGTTCATGATTAATTACGGATTGTTAATGGAGGCAAAATCGGAAACTATTTTTTATTGATTTCTATTGCTTGTTTTTACAGTTTAAATGCATGACAGTGCCTTATTAATTTATTTTATAGCTTTGAATGCATGTATTGTTGTTTTATGTGTTTACGGTTGAATTGAAAAAATGGAGGTTAAAGGTCAACGGAAAACTTATGTGATTAAGTGACTGGATGAAACGGCAGCCTTACTGGACATCCTGGGAGATGGTAGATGGACTGGGTACACAGAGAACCCTACCATGAACGTGTCTCATACCGGACGAGGTATGGAGACTTGGTAACTTAGCACTCATACTGGACGGGGTATGGGGACGACCTACTTCACCCTAATATCGGATGGGGTATTGAGGTTTAGTAATTTGGCACTCATACCAGACAAGGTATGGAGACGACTCGTAATTGAGAATGTCAAAGAAAAAGGTTCACACGTAGTGGGGACACCCCTAGGAACCCTTATGGATACCAGCAGTCTAGTGGAGAACGGGACAATTGTGGTTTGATGATTTGAATATGAAAGTATAATGTGTTATGTTGCCAATTATATACGGAATCATGATATATATAATGTTATTGTTTTCTATAGGTTGTTTTCTATAAATCTTACTGCGGTAAGTAGACGGTAAATAGTTTTATTGTTGATAAATGAATTTGCTTAATTTAATGCTCCATTAGTTTTCTTTTTGATTTTTCTACCAACTTTTATTTCTATGTCGGTGATATAGTGTGATATTCTTATTGGGCTAATGTAGCTCATCCCTTATTTAACCATTTCAGATCAAGAAGATCAGGATTCAGAGCCCAATCCGTAAGAGAGTTGCGAGTAGAATGCTAGTTTTCTTTATTTTTCGTTTATTTCTATAACACCCGAATAAAAATAAAAATTTTATTTATTTATTTTTATTTTTATTTATTTATTTAATTTAATTTAATAAAAATAAAAATAATAATAATGATAAAATTGGGTAAAAATATTATTTGGATTTAATTGAAATTGATTTTGAGAAAAAGGGGTGAAAATTTGGATTCTGGGGGTATTTTTGAAAAGAAAATCGAAAACCGGGGGTCAAAACGTAATTTAGAAAAGTTGTGCCACGTCAGCACCACGTCAGCAGCCACGTCAGCGGCCCGGTCAGCAGCCCCGGCCAACCAGGACGCGCTGCGTGGCAAGGACACGCTGACCAGGGGACGGGCCACGGGGGCGATCCGCGTGCGTGGATCGGACAGCCCAGATCCGTTCCCGCGCGCACGGACGACCCAGATCAAACGTGCGCACGGACGGCCCAGATTCACGCGCACGGACGGTCCAGATTCAATCAGGCACGAACGGCCCAAATTGCATCGCGATGGACGGCCCAGATTTAATCCCAATTAAATCGCGATAGAACGGTTCAGATTTAATCTTGATGGACGGTTGAGATTAAAAGGCAAAGGGTATAAATACCCCCACCCACACCTGACCAAAGAAGCCCTAGCTGCTAGTGCTCGTCAGAGAAGAAGAACCAGACGCCGGAGGAGCCGGATGCCGCCACCCGCCGCCGCACCGGGGAAGTTTTCGACCGCCGATCGAGGTAATTTTTTCCCCCTTACTCATTTTTCAACGCTGAGTCCGCCTATGGCCAAACCGGAGCCAAACCACCGGCCAAACGGCCGAAAAACCCAGCCGAAATCCAGCGGTGCCACCGCATCCTTCCTCAGTTTTTGCCTCCGATGAGGCCCTTCCCGGCCTCCGTTTTATACAAATTTTATACCACTATGATCACCGTTCTTTTCTCTACAGATTGATCGGAGCCAAACATCAAAACGTGACTCACGCCGGAGGAGCCGCCGTACCCGAGAGCACCGCCGCTGGTAAGTTTTGGTTTTTCGTGATTTTTCAGCCCACCGAGGGCCCTAGGGTTGTCCTATCGCAGGGACCGATGCAAGCGTGGCCGAATTCGGCCAAAAACGGCCAACCCGAGGCGAATCGCCGATGCAAGCGACGGCGCCGTCGCCGGAGCACGGCGGAGCCGCTGTGCCGGAATTGCGATATTGGTCGAAAGGGGACCTAGGTCTAATTTGGGATTTTTTGGGACACGTGCAGGTACCAGTAGTGCGTTTCAGTTCCCCAAAAAAAATTTAGAGAAAATTAGAGACAGCCTGTAGGCGCACTGTAGAGCCGTATTCAGACCCTGAAACAAGTAAGGACCCCTCACCCTATTTCCTATCACGGTATTAAAGCTAAATAAATAATTAAACTGTACTGTGTGACTCTATAGATGTATAATTGATTAAGGTTGCCAATGGAGCTCGAGTCTGATACTGGGTTGGTCTGTTATTGTTTGATTTAATTTCCTGTATTAAATGCAGTATGATGTTTGATGTAATTATATTATGGTCTCGTATGCATGAATCATGGTTTCTTTATTATGGTCGGTATTATGCTTAACCCGATACTGTGTTGTCTTGTTTGGTGTCCATTACTGGTTTACACGTTGTGTGTGTTTGGATGATTGAAACCAAGAAAAAGGGCAAAAAGGTTATGTGAATTGATAAGTGGATAATGTGGACAGCCTAACTAGATATCCTGGGAGATGGTGGACGGACCGGGTCCGTAGGGAACCCTACCGGGAACGTGGTCTCTCATACCGGACGGGGTATGGGGACGACTTGTTTCACCCTCATACCGGACGGGGTATTGAGGTTCATGGTTTTGGCGCCCATACTGGACG